ATATGCTTCATAATAGTAGTCTTTCCAACCCCACCAATCCCACAAACTCCAATCTTTCTAACTTCATTGCCCACCAAGTATCCCCTGATTTTTTCTTTTGCAGAATCTTCACCCACTGGATTATCATTTGACATGATGACTCCACGGGTTGGAGGTCTATCATCTACGAGACCATCACGAAAACAACCATCTACACGGATTTTTTTCACCACCTCAATTTTCCTGCAAACAAGTTTTCCAAGATGGCCCCGTGAGTACCACTTTACTCTCTCAATCTTTCCTTCAATTTCGTCCACTTCATCATTGATTTGTTGTACATCATGAAGCCAGCTTTCTACCTCACGTTTCCTTTTTCTCCCCCAAAGAACCTCATCTTGTACTTTTGAATTTATCTCCTCTTTTTGACTGTTTAGATTTTCACGTTCTCTTCTCAGATCACTCACAGCTTCATTAAAATTTGAGTGATGATCTAGATAGGTGCAAGCTGACCTCCACAAACACTTTACCAGCTCCATGATAGGCTCTACCAGAAGCTCCATTGAAGAAGACCCTATAAAATGAAACATCATGTGTATTAGAATGTATACAACAACTTCAAAAACCATGCAAGATATAGGAATAACTAATGGTTAATAGGATGAAAAAGTGAGACCAAAAAGGGTTGGGAAAATTGTCACTAGCTCTTTTCATCACTCAGCTTGTCACTTTAAAAAAAAATGAAAAAACTGAACTAGCAATCCATCGAAAGCAAGAAATCTAAGGTAACCAAATTGTGCACCAATGGAGAAATCTAAAATTGAAGATATAGATAGATAGTGTACCTGCCACAGGTTTAGCAAAAGAAATCGAAGAACGTTGGACACTGGTACCAAAATTAGGCCTAGCAAATTAGAAGAAGCAGCAGATCTGCAAATCTGCAATTGCAAGCTTAATTCTGTTGTTCAGAGGGGTTGATGGATATTTCCCAGAAGAATAGCATATGATTCCAATGTGATCACTTGGAGAAATATCTACATGTACTTTGAATACCCAAGAAAAAAAGAAAAAGAGAATTTTCTAGATTAATAAGTTAGCTTAGCTTGTAATTAAGGTAAACACAAACAATTTAAAATAAAGGAATCTAATTAGAAAAAAGAGCAGCTTTGCTAATAAGATCTCCGCAACGAAATTGAGACATTTTCATTTTATATATATACTCTAAAGAGGACATAACAAAATCAAGATTGAAGACTTAATAGATAGTGTACCTGCAGGATTAGCGTAAGAAATTAAAGGAAGTTGAGATACTAGGGCCAAACAAAAATTAGAAGTAGCTTAATTGCGACTGCAAAGCCTAAACTTTCCTTCTGATAAGAAGAGTTGAACCGGCCAAGGAAAAGAGAGAACATAAAGTGGACAAGTCAATGAGAGAGTCATATTCCTTGGAAGATGCATATATAACAGATACTAGTGAAATAAAGGGGTAATGCCAACTGTCATTCCTCTACCTTTTTTTCTTTTCCAACTGTTGTTCCTCTACCATGAAAAAAAAAAAAGTTCAATGTCAACTTTTTACTTCTATTTTGTCTCTTCTGTTTTCTCTTGAGTTTATCTACTCTTTGTCCTAAGAATGATATATTAAATTTATCATTTTATTATAAATTTATATT